TGCGGATTGGAGGATATTGACGACTGCAAATGCAGCCGGGACCAACGGCTTAACGTGCCCGCCGAAGCATGGAGTAGCTCGAGATAATAATTTTTTGGTCACCCATCCCGTGACCGACCCTTGCGAAAGTTGCTTAACGACTAAAATCGCGGGCCGCGGCGCTTATCCACTACGCCACCGAGCTACTATACATCTTATATCCGTATTATTATTTGCTTTATATAAGTTTTTTTTATCTCGAATTAAATTTCGGAATATAAATAAACGTGTACAATACACAGTTCATTGAAATGGTACGGTGCATGGTTATGAACAGTGTTTTGTCAATTAAGTAGGTACAAGAACGCGAACGTGTTACTTTTACGAACCTCACCATTTTCTAATATATTTCAATTGTTGCTCCAAAAAAAGCATTTAAAGCACAGAACATAGAGAGAGAATAGAAGTATAATGATATTGATTTAGTATGGGAACCGAGTGTCGCCTCTCCGCACACAAATACAGATTAGATGAAATGATCATTTTGTTCACTACATGAAAAACTGCCACGCGATACGTTCGTGATAACATAAACAGAATCCCAAAAAGATACTAAGCTAAGAAATCACACGATTAAAAACAAACTCTAATTCAACGTGATAATAAATAATTTACTTTAACATGAACGTTGAACTGTCACGTGGCTGTATACGGGGATACCAGAAGGGAAAAAATATTTTAAGATTATGCACATTTTAAAAAATTGGGGACATCATTTTATGTGCGAACTATTAAGATTAGATTTTGCTGTAACCAAGTGAATATTAAAAAATAACGCTTTTCCCTATATAAGTTCTTTTAAACAACGCAGTACAAAAACTAAGAAAACTTAATGATAAACTCTATCATATGTCTGTGGAGTAATATAATTAAGCGAGGGAAAGTGTAAAAAGAAACAAAAATTAAGAAACCAACAGAATTTTTGTATTAATTACATTAAGCCTAATTTGTAATTTTTTCTTACTGGTATCATTCCGATTGTGCATATTAGTGATGTGACATAATAGTAGTTGATGAAATAAGAGGTTTAAATTTTGTTATGAAACAGTAAAATGTAATTCAGTTCGACAATGTTCTACAGTGGTTTGATAGTAATTATTTAAAGCTTAATTCAAATAAAATGGAATACATAAAGTTTGCATTACCTAATGTGAGGCATATTAATACACTTATAAATGTATATAGTGAAAAAGTTGAGTTGGTGAAATCGACAAAGTTCCTTGGTATTACACTAGATTCCCGACTGCAATGGGATCCTCATATTGATAATTTGTCAAGTAGACTGAGTTCTGCAGCTTTTGCTGTTAAGCAAATTAGACTCTTGACAAATGTTGAAACGGCAGGATTGGTATATTTTAGTTATTTTCATAGTGTAATGACGTATAATCTATTGTTGTGGGGTTCTGCGGCTAGCATTCAAGATATTTTTATTCTACAAAAGAGAGCTGTCCATGCTATATATAATTTACGGTCTAGAGAATCTCTCAGAGAAATATTTAAAGAAATAAATATTTTGACTGTTGCCTCTCAATACATCAATGAAAATATTATCTACGCAAGAAAACATTACGATTCCTTCACAAAAAAAAAAAGTAGTGTTCATAATCATAACACAAGAAATAAAAATAAACTTGCCGTTCCAAGCTTCAGACTTCAGAAAACCAGAGGATCAATGCATTTACATTGCTATGTTCAATAAAGTTCCACAAAATGTAGTTGACCTACCCATAAATAAATTAAAAATTCATGTAATGAACATACTTATGAGTAAAGGCTATTATTAAGTTGATGATTATTTTAAGAATCGCAATGCATGGAATGAATAGTCATCGCTTTGTTCTATAAAGACTAATTATATGTTCAACCTATGTCCTACAGATTTTGAAAGTTGTATTTATTATTGTGATAAGATATGAAATGACATGATTTATGTAAATATCATAGGGCGGGTAAGTTTCTTTCGCTTGTTCTTCTTGTCAGCTAAAAGACGTCCTGAACAAGTGGTAGGGGAAAAAAAAATTTTGGACGATTCAAAAGCGATTCATAATAACTAATATGATCATTACAATAATAAATTGATCATAGCCATGTTTGTTTTACTTTATTATTCTAAGTTTTATAACTGTAATAATAATAGTACCTACATTTTTAATTGCAACGACTGGACAATAAGGAATCGCTGGTCAAGTATGAGTTTGAAAGCCGTAACAAAAAAGTTTGAAGACAGACACAAAAGCGATAAGTACGTACAAACGTCAATCTACATATAAAGTCACATCCGTTTGAGACATGCGTTTATAAACTTATGTGCAAATATGAAGCAACAAAAAAAATGATAAAAACTGTTCTGTGGGCGGTTCTTTAAAGTGGCTATCTTAACTCGATTTCTATAATAATGGTTTCCGATTGTGAATCAGCATAATAAAGTAAATTAAATTGACGCCTTTAAATTGATTTTGTAAATTAAATTCACACCACCAACAATATTACGTTAGTTGAAAACATGATTTTTTGTTTGTATAGATAATATGTTGTTTTGAAATTCATTTGATAGGTTTAGGTCTAAAACGGATAGGACAAAATAAATTATGTAAACAGGGCAATCCGTTGTAAAGTTATTAGGGAAACTGAAATATAAGTAATGCAAAATAAGTGAAATCCAGTTTCACCAGTTTCTAATAAGACCTATTAGGCCAACACTCGTAGCTTTTCACGAAGTTTCGTTTGATTTATATATTGTTCATAAAACGTTGATATACTTCGTAACTTAGATATTTATAGCACATCAGTATTTTTTAATATTTATCTGCGTGTAAATAATTAACCGAATCTTCGTAAAATAGTTCATTATTTCATTTGTTCAGTATCAATTCATCTTTTATTTTCAGGAGGCACAGCACTATTTTTTGCAAAAGTGCACAATATGATTTACATTGCTGTCTAGAAACGGGGTTAGAAACATTAATGTTGGTTTGAGCAAACAATGTATATTTTATTTGAAATTGTGTCAAATTATTACGTTTTTTATATTTTAGCACTAAAATTGTACTTACCAGTGAAAGGAAATGTTTGCATTAGTTAGATTGTATACTTTGTTTTGCTTTTTGCAAGTGATAATAGCACAAAACGGTATTTTTTATAGAAAAAATCAGTAAAATCACCACTCGACGATTGACGAACGACTGACAAATATAAAACCGAGGAAAGGGCGTCATATGAGTAAAAGCGCATATGCCAGCGACGCTTGCCCCGCCCACTTACTACTTCTATTCTCTCTCTATGTTCTGTGATTTAAAGCGTCCAAGTGAACCTCAATGTGAATATTATCATTCTAGACTAGGTTGTATGTGCTATATCCTTTTGCCTTTAATTATGCCAAAAAGTAAAGTTGATTTATGTTCCGTAGAAGCTTAGCGCGAATTTTATATAGAGTTCACCTTTATTATAAATTTTTGATTGTATAAAGTGATTTGTAAATATTACTATACATAATGCATTTGCAAGATAAAATTAATGAAATTGACAGTGAACAATTGTGATCCATTGACATAGGATGATAAATGAATCGTTATTAGAAATAGTGGAATAATTGTATCAAATCGTAAAACAAACGTAGAAAAATGCGATGGAATAATGTAAAAATTATGTAGTTTTATATGAATTGTTTTTTATTTGTAAAATATATAAGTTATGTCCAAATTGGGTTTTATTAAGAATTAAATCAATATCAGTGTTTAATAAAAAATAAAGGGTATAAACTAATGTAACGTGTATAAGTTTGATACAAATAGGTGGCAAATTCAGTTTCATTAGAACAAGGTTTTTCATAATTATATAGAGGTAAATCATCAAGTTTTTCAACAGAAACATGTTGTAGAAAGAATCTGGAGCAATGATTAATTGGTAGTATGAGCCCTTAAAAGGTACAAACATTGGCATGATTACAACTTAAATTCTTCTAATTGAAACCACAAAACACATTAAACTCTTCTACAATATTAATTTTTTAATGAAAAACTGTTATTTTTCTATAAATTAACAAGGGAAAACGCGTCATTTATAAATATTTATATGATAACCGACGGAAAATGGCCAGTAGGCAAATTTGACAGATAAGCTATGGATGGTAAGTTTGACAGCTCTACCATCACATAGATTTTTTTAATGAAACACCTTTTTGCGCCTTTCATACATTTTATCTACGAACGGTTATCAGTATCAGATCAATCTGTTAGCAGCATCCGTCGGTAGCTTTACCTACCAATGGTATGTTATTGAAACACTTTTTTGCTACCATCGGTAGGAAATGCTACGGATGGTAGCAGAAACGGATAGTTTTTTGGTTATTGAAATCAGGGGTTAGTACGACAAACGAAACTGAATAAATTACTTTTTATTTGTACAAAAGAATATAAAAACTAACTAAATGTAAATGAGAAGGCATTTTAAATGCTAAAGAAATCTATAAAATATTGCTGTGAAATTGTAAAAATTAGCCTTTAGCTACAGTATATAACACTGATATTTTTTATATACCTATCAAAGTTAGAATGGCGATATAAGGTCTTTTTGAAGCTATCGATCGTGTAATTTTTTGATACTGTATGACATAACGCTATGGAAATATGTATACTGTCCTGGCAGTATATACATCTGTGAGTTGTCTGATTTTTCGTACCGCATAGACAGCTTAACTAAGTTTTCCAACTTACACTTGACACAGCTTCCTAGATTGTAATTCATAATCAGGATGGTTGATGATGATGATGATGAGGATGATGGATTTTTAATATATTTTGTAGTATAAAGCACTCATAACGCAGGCATTTGTGAATCACTCCACACCAGGATCGCGTGGTAAAGGATAATCCTGTATGCTTGAACAGGACCATGGCTGGCCTGCCATATTCTGTGTTCTGTTATGTATGCTATGTTTGTGTAGTAAAAAATTATAAACCTACCTGTCAGCTCTGGCAGCAGCAAGATGAGCCTCATTATCAGCTACAACATGCCGCAGCCGCTGTAGAAGCTGTGTCGGTGAGCAAGTGCCCTCACTACGGGCGACCACTGTCATGCGATGCTCGCGCACGCACACCACACACAACAATGGATACCGCCGCCCACCTACAGATTGCGCCACACGCCAACCTTCTGCTGTATCCACTGAACAGCCCCAGAATAGGGCGTGAGTATTTATATATTGGATTACTTCTGGGTCAGCTAAGGTTGTTCTGAAAGAAAACAGGATACATGATGCATTTTTTTTCTTGTAATGTTTATTATACAATTAACGATAATCACATTTTTATGCTTTACAATATTACTTAAACTAATTATGAAAAAACAAATATTTTATGCTCGCCACACGATCACAAACAGCGAGTGACATCACACCATTCTTACTCAAATTAGAACACAGAGAATTCAACCAAAAACCCATTTTTAAAATACAGTAGCATCATCTAGTGAGAACAGTTAAATGTTTTTAAATATTTTCACCTGATTAATAATTGGCCATTAAATTTAAAGTTATTGAAAATATCAAAAAATTGAAAATAAAAGCTAAATTTTGTTGATAAATATCATAAAAAATAAAAACTGCGAACATAACATAAAATAGCATCATCTAGTGATCATCAGCTAAATGTTAAATGTAAGCTTAAATATTATAATAATGGATTTGGAAAAAGATGACTTGCTATATAATAACAATTACAAATTGAATTGTTAACAGTGATTACTATGGTTGTTTCATTGCCCTATATAAACTTTCACTCTCATTTTCATCCCTTTATGTACTATTTAACAGGATAAGACATAAGATAGACATATGCTGTCATGGACTTTTTTGTGATTTTACAGACAGTTAAATTTAGAGAAAAATATGATTTACCCTAAATTTAACTGTTTATGCAGTGCATACAAAAAAAGTTCTTCAAAAGTAAAATATTCTCCCATTTTTTTTACATTTTCTTTGTTGCTTCACTCGGCTAATAGGAGTATTAATCTATTATAGTGATAGTAAAAATGTATGTAAATTGTGGTTTTGTTACCTAATACGAAATCTATATGGTGCTTTATTAAAAAATAGTACAATTGAATAGCCTGTAATTTATACATAGCTTAATCAGTCAGTGTGATATCTATGAGTCTATACTTAGTGATGTTTCTAAGGGATAACAGGAGTTCACCATTTGAATATTCAAGTTGAACATTTAACATTATAAAGAGTATACCTGTATATATTTATTAACATAGTATGGCAAAGTACCATTAAAAAATAGGAATATAATGATCTATATGCTTGAGCATGTTGTAAGCCTATCTTATATGCTTATTTTCTCTACTCCTTCACATATATCAGTAAACATAAAACAATAATACTAACCTGCAGAAATTCTGTGTTTCTGTTGCTGATTCTGAATGAAGGTATATAATAAGGAACCTAAGTTCATTCTTGGCATCATTAAGGGCCTGCGCATATGTACCCTGATAGAATACTGGATGTGGATTAAATCTTGATTGATAGTTATTTATAAAGCTCATAACATCACCTAAGGGATCAGTTACCACTGAAACGGTTTAAAATTATTAAATTATTTTTCCACAAACATACTCTTCCTACAGATTGGTAAACACTGCACTAAATGTTATAACAAATTAGAGACATACATCTTCTGTCATCTTTGCGTATGAAGCTCAGTAGGAGATTCAAAACAGATGATATTGTATTGTAGCACATTGACACAACTAGATTGACTACATAGCGTAGTAGACCGCTTACACCCCCCGACGGTCCCTCTGTTGATTCATCTGTAAACACTTGTTGTGCTATGTGATCATGTACTACTGGTGGTGCTCGCGCTTCTGTTGCGAAAACCGATGGACGTCCTTCCCTTATATTCAACTGCTCTTGTATCGCTACCTATGACAGAAAAACTCACTTAGAACACGACAGGTGCTCAAATTACACCAACCTACATGCCTATTTAAAAATTCGTACAGCAAAACAAATGTTTACCTCTAAATCCCACTGATGCCTCTGCAACACATCTCTGCATATTGACATGTCTTCTATACCAGTTAAATCTTGGAACTGTAGTATTTTATCAGTTTGTTCATGGGTCAAGCCCAAAGCATTATCTTCCAAATCCATTGCTTTGTTATAAAGGAGTCTTACAAAATATTTTATAATTACTAACTAAAACAATATATACTACGATCCTACATGAATATACTTATAAACACATATTTCTGTAAAAATCTAATTAAAATTAATTCGACACAATCACAAAAATGAATCGAATAAAATCAGAATCACAGACCAATGACTGAGAGAGAGAGCAAAGATGGTAATTTTAATCTGATGACATGACTAGAACCTAATGGTGTGCGGAATTGATTACCAGTAATCAATAACCGATTTTTCAAATAATCAGATGCTATTGATTATGATTTCATAATCGACGATTAACCATCGATTATTTCTTAAAATGGAATAGGAATAGTTTAAAACGTTAGTATAGTTCCTGCTTACTTTACTTTGACGGTTCAGCAACCCATAACGGATCGCGAGTGTGAATATTATTAGTAGATATTCTATTGCTTGTTGCGGCAACCCTGGAATACTCCCACGAACAAATAGGTAACTTTACTCTTTGGTCGGGGAACTCCCGATGAATGAATGAACTGATCTTACAGTTTAATTTTAACAAATACAAATTAACCGTTTTTTTTTACGAAATGCACATGTAAGTATACGGTACATGCCTATACCAAAATAATATTTTTACATTTTTGTCTGTCTGTTATTTTTGGCTAAACTCTGAAACGGTTATACCAATTTTGACGGGATTTTACTGGCAGATAGCTTATGTAATAAGGAATTACGAAGGCTACTTTCTACGCCGACGAAATACAGCTAGTTTAATTCTATAAATTTTGCATGCACAGTGCTGGTATAGTAAACGTTATGTTAAAATTGATTTTTAACTATTTTCCATGAACTTGGAGGGCTTTAAAATACGGTAGAATTAATCTGAAATCATTAATAAAGTTATGGGATAAAAATATTTAATAATTCGTTGCATTAATCGATTATTATTGATTATTAATCAATTAAGAGAAATACTATAATCGATTGATCGATGTATATAATAATCGAATCAGACATCATTACTAGAACCAGACGAGCGAACTTTTTTTTTATTGAGCCTAACGGCTCTGCATTCAAGTCCTTTTGAGCCATACATTATTTTAGTATTAAGAATGAAATTAAATCTTGATTATAGTATTGAGAATGAACTTGTAAAGTGGTTTGTAGTTCTTGAAAACTGGTTTCCGTTGTTTTCTTGTGTATTGATTCCACGCCACTGACAAGTACTAGTCGTTGTATGCCAATTCGTTTACATTTCATTACCAGATGTTGGAGATTCTCGGCTTCGTTACAAACTGGACACTTTAGGCTATCTATCATTTTCAGTCTATGCAGGTGAGTGCAAGTCTGACGGTGACCAAATCTCATTCTATTTACGGTTGTTATGAATTGTCTGTTGGGCACTGTTTTTTTGTACGACCAAGGTTGGGCGGGCGGGCTTCCTTGGATTATTTTTATTATTTTTTCTTCACTAATAAGATTCCAATATTCTTTCCAGAGCAATAGGAGATGCTTTGTTTTGGATTTGAAGTCTGTGAATGGAACTTTCATAGAAGAGGAGTGGTCTTCATCAGGTGTGTTTTGTCAGTCTTCATTAGGATTGGTGGTGCTAGAGCACATATTAGTAATCGATGATTCAAATCCATCCAACATTCCGCACTGGGCCTACGTAAAGGTCCCAGTGCCGATTGGTGGTACTAAAGCACATATACTCGGTGGAACAGAACGACCGACACTCCCGAGGTTCCTGGAGAGTACTACTTGTCTTTAATATGATGTAAAAAAAATTATAAGTCGAGGTCAAATAGTTTCGGAGATATTAAATTACAAAGTTTTTGAAAAAAAATAGTGTTTTCAACCCCGAGTCAGCTGTTTTTGGGATGTACTAAGGAAAAGTTTTCAATCGGTCATTGACTTCTTCATTTCTAAAAACGAAATAAATTAGATTGTGATTTATAAGACTGCTTTCATGCATATTCTACCAGACAATCAATAAACAAGGCAGTCAAAATGCTTAAATCGATTTACAGACTAACAGCCGGTTTCTGATTTGAATAAAGTAGAAATTCTCAATAACCTAAGTTTTTTTAATTTCACAAATCAAATAGTCCTAGTTTTATCAAACTGCTATCAACTGATCATCAAAAAACTAAAATTGAAAATGAATTTTTGTTAATAAGATACTAGAGTGTTCGTCTTGAGTGTTTAGTTTAGTGAAGATTGTGTTTAGTTTTGTTTGAATGTGATGTGTTTTGCGCGTGCATGTACCGGCATTGAAAAGAGCATGCTTAGCTCAGTCTTCAGAGAGAATCGATATTGCGCATGCGCGTTATAGGGCTGTCAACACTTAGAAATTTAAAATTTTTGCTCAATTTTTACATCTCCTCTACTTTTAAATATTTGTCAAACAAAATGAACGTTTGCATGTAACCTAACTTGAAACTTTCGGCCGTGTCGGTCATTTTGTTCCTCCCATTATTCACAATCGATGATTAATCTACCAAGTAATCCGTACTGAATATGCGCGGTCGTCCTAAATCACTATCAAAAAAAAATTGACCACCCATCCGATTACCAGCCTTTGCAATCGTTGCTTAATCTCTTCAATTGCAGATGAAACGCGTTAACTACTGCATTTTCGGGCTTTTCACTTGTTTATATAGGTATATTGCCGTATTTTTTTGTCAAATTGAATCTATTTTGATGATATGGTAAGTTTGCGCAACTGAATCGCTCCTCGTAATTACTGAACAGAAAATCAAAATTTGAAGTGATATCGCAGACCATGTGAGAGGAGATTTGTGACCGATATTAACAGATTGTGCAATCTCATCAATAAACACTTGCGATGTTCCATACATTTTATAAGCGCGTGCAATTCGTACGATAACGCTCATCATGAGCTTTGAGGTTACTTTCCATGCGGCTAAAGTTGCAGGCACAGCTAGTTTAATATAATTCTAATTTACTACTTTTCAACACTAACGGGATTGTTTGAGAATTGATTATGCCAAGAAAAAAAAGGATATTTCCTATGGATGACGAAAATATTCCGAAATCATCAAAGGAAAATACTTATGGCTTGAATAATTTTTATAGAATATTTATATTATCATAGATATTTATATTATACTAGCTTTTGCCCGCGACTTCGTCCGCGTGGTATAGTTACTTTGGGCATCATATATTTTTCAAAAACGCTGTTTTTGTGGAGTTGATTATAAAATTTCCTTGCTCTTTAAGTTCGAAGATATTACAACAAAAAAAAAACAACAAATATTCAATCTATTTTAGCACTTTATCTTTGAAAACTTTAGAAATATTAATCCAATCCAAAGAAATTTGAAATACAGATGGAAAGGAAGTTTACACACACTTAATCGAAATCGTAATCTACGCAAAAAAAATGAGAAATTTAATTATTACCTGAAATAGATTGTTTATTTTTCGGAAGCTCTCCGTAAGCGCTAAGCCTTACGCCACGTGAAATTTCATAAATATAATTAAGTATTTGCTAAAATAGGTTGTTTATTCGATATTTATAAATGATCACTTACTCTTGGCCACATCATGGAGAAGTCATACTATCAGCCGCCCATATCGTTAAACGCAAATCATTCATGGAGCTGGCCAAGCCACATCAAGATGTGGGCAGCGAGATTTTTCCATTTCATAAAATACAAACATTTCATAATATGGCTTTCCGCATTATGAATTGGTAAAATCTACGTTTGGCCACGACATATGTACTTGGAAACCTATACTAAGGTGCTTACATAATATGAATGAAAATGTAATAAAATAGGATTTGTGAAAATTATCAACTTCAAAATCTTAGGTTAAGACCTAGCAATACTTATCCTCAATAAGTTAATTATTGATGAAATGAAAAACCAAATAATTGCAATCTATTTATTTAATCTAAACTTGGAGCAACTACAGGCTGCGCAAAGTTCTTTGATCAAAATCATAGCGCGATTTAGAATATACTCGCCATCAGCTCACTGTAAATTTATTCTAGGTATATTTTCTAGGTAAAAAAAAATCTGTGATTTAGAATTCATTGAACGCCATCTAGTGTAGTTCATATATATACAATATTAAAATAATTTTTCTTTCGTTAACAAAATTACTTGAATTTGAACATTTTTATCCATTTAATTTTCAAAAATGTAATATTTACTCAAATACAAATTTTCATCGCTATACAATTAATCATTTTATAAATAATATTAGGTTAATTTATTTCAATGACAAATCAGATTGTAAACAATGGTTGCTATGGTAATATTAGCCACTATTTATGAATATTATTAAATTATATTAAATAGTGTAAGAATTTTCAGAATTTGGTTTATATTTTTAATTATTCTTATGCATTTTTTTGCAAGATAAAGATTTCCAGAGTATGTGGGCTATTACCCCAAAGAATTATTCCATAGTTTATACGTGAACGAACAAAAGAATAATAAGCGGAGAGGGTTGTTTCTTGATTAGAGATACGTTTCAACTGCCTCAGAGCATATATAAATGATGATAGCAATAGATAACATTTGGATATGAGGTTTCCAATTAGTATTCATATCGATCTCTATTCGTAGCAAACTTTTTATTATATTTCTACGCATTGTGATCTGTTTTGGATGTAAGATCGTGGATGGACATTTAGCTACGGTATACAATAATATTACCGTGAAATAGTTTTTATAAAAAAACTTATGCTATAGTAGGTCTAGGAATTTTTTCATTCATTTTTAATAAAAGTCTTAAAAAAATAATTTGAAAGTTAGATATTATGACAAACACGAAACGATGTCATATTTATTAATTTTCGAAACTCACTTTAATTTAATTACGTCAGAATAAAAATTGAATGAATGTCATAGACAATTATTTGAAAATCGCTAGTGACATCTAGTTTGATTTCAAGAACAAATTTTAATTTTTTCAATACTTCCTTATTAATTTTTTTTTGACAATACTAACACGTATGTAAAACATTTAAAACTGTAAGCTAATACCTACCATGTCTGTTAAGGTTCGCTTTTCGCTTTCAGGTTGGTTCCCTATTAAGATTTTGTCAAAACACCATCCAATTATCATAGAGTTAATATTGAGGAAGTATTAAAAAAAAAGAAAATACTAAAAAGCATCCATTAGAATTAGTGATTGCAATCTCGCAAAACGGGATCCAGCATTCCCGCGGGATCCCGCACCACTTATTAATGTTCTGGATCCCGCACCTTTAAAACGCGGATCCGCGGATGGCGCTAATTACAATTTTCCGCTAAAACGTTCTTGTAGTTTCGCGTAAGAAAGCGAGTAGCGCGAGTGCGACGTTGCCGTTTCGCACAGAGGCGGAGGTTGGCGGGGGACTTCGTGTCGGTTCGTGTTTCTTGCAGTCAGTCACACGCGTCGTGTCTGTAGGTGACAGTGTTTTCGTACTACGGTCCAGCGTGCGTTCAACAGAAGTATATTATTAATTTTGATTTAGTTTTTTATTTGTGCTCTTTCAAATGCAGATTATGCTGTAAATAGCAATATAATGTTGTAATGATAATGTAATGTTGGATATTCACGTATAAGTTATTTTTGTTTTGATGAACACATAATATTTGTTATCAATGATAATAGTTATACATTAGACTTTATTAAAAACATATTTCCAGGTAACGAGTGAATGAATCATGTCCAAGTCCAATGAAACTGAGAATTTCGAGAGAGAGAATAAAGGCGACGGTGATGGCGACGGCAGCGCCGGCAGCGTCGGCACCCAAATTGGTATAGGTCTGTGGCGTTATTTCAAAAGTGACAAAGGTGGCAAATGTCTTGTGTGTTCAGATGAACTAAAAATTAGTCAACGTTCTACCAAAGGCTTAAAAATACATTTAAAGACTAAACACAATATCGATATCAATTCTCGAAACGATGAGACTGGAGAAAAATCCTTACCAGTTGTACCAAAGAAGAATCCCAAAACTTTGGACAGTTTTGTTATCAGAGAAAACTCCATGGACAAAACGATCTCTAGGATGGTATGTAAAGACGGATTCACCTTAAGTTCCTTTTGCACATCTTCGGATTTAAGAGATTTATTTTCTAAAAGCGGACACAAATTACCTAACTCGCCAAATACGATAAGATCTATCGTAACAAACTTTAGCAACACAGTCAAAGCTGACATGATTATAGAATTTGAACGTCTCAAGAAAGGAAAACAGAGATTTTCACTCACATTTGGCGAATGGACGTCACAAAAAAATCATCGATACTTAAATATCAACGTTCACCAGAAAGAAAATCATTTCAATCTGGGTTTGGTACGTATACAAGGCTCGGCTATCGCAGAACATTGCATTAGCTTAGTAAAAGAACGCCTAGCGAGTTTTGGTCTAGACTTAGACACAGATATTACTGCATGTACAACGGACGGCGCTAGTGTGATGGTGAAGGTTGGCAAGCTTTTGCGTTGTTCCCAGCAGCTTTGTTTTACACACGGCTTGCAGCTAGTGATAGTTGATACACTGTATAAGAAAAGCAATTCACCAATACCATAATGCCCAGCAGCCTCAATTGCGACGGAGTCTGATAATGATGACGACGATGATATGGACGGATTGGACGCGAATGAACAGGGCGTAACTGTAAATATAAATTCACCACCACTTGAAATGACTTCTATATATGACAATTTATTGAAGAAAGTGCGAAAAGTGGTCAAGATTTTTGAACGGTCACCAACTAAAAATGACGTCTTTTTACAAAAACATGTAAAGGAACAAGAAGGCCCTAAAAAAGAATTGGCATTGATATTAGACTGCTGGACTCGCTGGAATAGTCTTTTAGATATCTTAGAACGATTCTATAACTTAAAGAATTGTATCGATAAGGCATTAATCGATATTGAATCTGAAATTAAATTCAGCGATAATGAGTGGTTCAAAATCAATGATCTCATTGCCAGCTTGCAGCCTTTTAAATTGGGAGTTGAGGCACTGTGTAGGCGAGAGTCAACGCTTATAACTGCGGACATAACATTTCAATTTATTTTGGATAAATTGCAACAAAAAAATACGGTGTTGAGTAACCAGTTAACTCAGAGTCTACATGAACGTATTAAAGAACGCCGCACTAACTTGACAGGAATTTTAATTTATTTACAAAATCCGAAAAAGTACGACCAAGAAGCCAAAAATACAGATCGTACGCAAACATTCTTCATGCCAAAAAAAGCTGCAATACGTCAAGAAATAAAAAAAATAATAGAGAGAGTCAGTACTGTTGAAGACGATGAAATGTATGCAGGTGACGTCTTCGAAAATACATCTATAGCTGGAACATCCGTAACTGTAACTGACACAGCTTCTACACTTACGCTAAAAGAAGAATTCGAAAAACAGCTTCAACAAGAAAAAGAAATATTTAAGAAAAGACCAGACAATAAGCAAAAGGATTATGAAAAAAATTTGAAGAAAGAAATGGCATGTTTCGAGTCCGATGGTATCAGAGGAGAGTACCTGACGCTCGCCTATGAATATATCATGACTGTTCAGCCCACTAGCGTAGAAGCCGAGAGAGCGTTTTCGGCATCAGGATATATTTGTAGTTCACTCAGAAGCAGGCTTGGAGATGATACTATAAATGCCATTTGCTTTTTAAGAGCGTATTTTCAAAAGTCACAATCGTAATAATACCATTTAGTTATTTAGATAAGAGAAAGTTGTGATTTGACAATGATTAGTAGTTATTGTTTTTGTTGTTGTTGATTACTTAGTTGTGATTTCTTTAGTCATTATTATGAATAAGACTGAATAACAAAATAGTATAAAACTGTTGTTAGATGTAAGGGTATAATTAAACAAAACTTTGATGCCAAACATTTAAAAGCTAAGATTAGTAAGACTGATTACTAAATTACTCGTACTTAATTATATAATTTAATTGTTATTTTGTTCGAAAACAAATAATTTTTGCTGCATAATGTGAGACATGTTTAATTACTCGTAATTAAACTTGATTATTTAAATAAAAACCTGTAGTTTCAATTCGATTTTATAACATAATTTTAAAGATGCGGGATCCCGCGGGATCTTGCGCGGGATTGATCAATCCCGCATATCAATCCCGCGGGATTGAATGAGCTGCGGGATTGCAATCCCTAATTAGAATCCATTAGATGGCTACCCCAGCAAAAGTAGATTTTTGCAGGAAACGAATGGCCCAAAGATAGGCATTTCCGTTCCTTTTAACTAACATATTAAAAAACTGTAATTCGCCAAGTTCGAAACTTAGATATCAATACAAATACGAAATAGTACAATTAAAATATGAGTTGTTTGTCTTTTGAAAACTGACTTACTTTTATACGTGAAAGAAAACCGGAAGGGTTGTCATGGAGAAATCAAGAAAGTACCATAGCGATATCTAGTTCGATTTCGGGTTTTTTTTTTAACAATTTCATTATAATCAACATGTGTGCTCAGGCACTAAAACTATTAGTATCGAATAGTAAAATATGTCTTTATTTCAAAATTCGTAAATAATTATTAATTTAGATAGAAAAAAATAAATTTATTTATAAAAGAACTTGTTTATTTCTATTTATTTATGTATGTATTACATTTTTCGAAGTAATGAAAGAAACCCTAAAAACTAAAAATATATGTTACTTTTTTTTCTTGTCCTTTTTAGACGGAGCGGGAGGAGGGGGCGGTGGCGGTGGTGGTGGTTCGTCTTCTTCTACAATTTCAGGAGGAACTGATGGGTCTTCATCAGGGTTTTCATAGAGATAATCTACCTGAAAAAGAAAATTCTTTTATATAAGCTGCATATAAATTTATTAGTCTTAACTTGATAATGAATGATGCTTCATTAATTATAAAGAGAATTTTAGAATCGCCACTATCCGTGAAAACCTCGAATGGCAGGATCGTCACATTGGTTTCAGAGATTCTCGCTGAAATTGAAGACTTCTATAGCCGACTGTATGCTTAAGCCTTCATACAATGCAAATGATCTTCACAGAAGATCTTTCTGACATTGACGAAGAGGAAATGGCAGCGACTCTCAAACCACTTGGAAATGGAAAGGCTCCCGGTAAAAACGGAATCACTGGCTCCTTAAGATAGCAGGGGTATCTGTTAGTAAAGAAGCTATTTAATTCCGCCATAACCACTGAGACTACCCCGGAGGCAAGGAGTAAAGGTGGTGTGGTGGCTCTGTTTTTCAAGAAAGGAGATAAATGTCTCTTGAAGTACTACAGACCGATCACACTTCTGAGCCACATCTATAAGCTGTTCTCGAGAGTCGTTACAAATTGTCTTGCTATATGATTGGACGCCTTCCAGCCATCGGACAGGCTGGGTTTCGGAAAGGCTACAGTACCGTAGATCACATACACAGTAAGGCAATTTACACAGAAGTTTGAGGAGTATAACCAACCACTGTACATAGCTTTTGTGGACTACGAAAAGCTTTCGACTCCATCGAGACTTGAGCTATTCTGGAATCCCTGATGCGATGTCAAGTCGATTAGAGATACGTAGATGTACTCAAAAGCCTGTTCAATACAGCATCAATGTTAATACAAGTACAAAACCGCCAGACAAGACCCATTCAGTTGCTTAGGGGTGTGACGCAGGGGGATCTTATTCCGGCAAAACTGCTCACTAACGCACTGGAGAATGTCTGAAGACCATGGATTGGAAAGCATTAATGTAAACGACGAATATCTCACGCATCTGCGCTTTACTGATGACATTGTCATTATGGCAGAATCGTTGCAGGATCAGCAAAAAATGATGACCAAGGGATGAAAAAGTTACGGGAGAGCGGGGGGAGGGGGGCACGAGTATGAAACAGCACAATACAAAGTCTTTGATCGCGATTGCATTCAAGAGTAAGCATGCAGATTCGTATCAGTGAATGCCATTCTTAATAAGTGCCGACACCGGTAATAACGGGTGTTGTAGGCAAGTTCATATGTGTGAATAGACTCTTTTATTTATTCTCTCCTAACTGTTTTTGTATTAAATCAGAAACATTTTTGTGCCGTATCACGGTTATTATTGCTGTCGTTTGTTCTTTCATATCAGTAAGAATGAAATTGATGTGTTTCTGTCACGACATCCAAATGTTTATCTCATCATATTAAATTTATGAAGCCAATGTGCTCCTCTAAGTATATATACAACACAATCCAAAAATTTGTTTCCGTCTTTATATTATACCTATGTATCCACATTTATATTTCAAGGGAAACCCCCTTATTTAACGTATAAGCTAACACCAAACATTTCCACAAAGATACCTATAGCAAAACATCGAAATAATTATAAAGATAAAATTAAAAATTCCAATGTCATCTATATGTAAAATAGGTACATAATACATACTTACTGCTATATCATTTAGTTCCGGTGCCAAGCTAAACATACTGTCTATAAAATATTCATAATATACATTTCCATCGCCACGCACATTGGCATCACGAAGTAATTCACGTGATTCTTGTGCATCAAATATATCTCCATATTGAGTTACAATGGATTCAATTTCATCAATCTCTAAAAATTGTCTCTGCTCTGTATCAAAAACCTAAAAGCAGTAATAAAAAGGATAAACATGAGATTTATTAACATTTAGTTCGGTTAAATTACACCAAAAATAGGAGTTATGTTACAAAAATCTGCACCTGAAAATTGGTGAGATTGTTCTAAACACCATCTTAAAAAAATGAAAAATATCCTCATCGATCCGACCCGATATAAAAATCATATTCAAGGTCAAATGTTACAAAAAACGGGTTTTCGAGGTTTTTAGCGTAACGGTAACGGTTTTATCATAAACCCAAACAAAAATTGTAGATCAGGATTATTTATAAAAATTGTTTTAATACTTTTTCCTAAGAGCCAACGTATATACGTTAATCTAAGTATAAACCATTGTTATCTATGCACTTTTGCCATCTCATAAGTAGTTAATTAATCCTCTTACTAAAAAAACCATTCGGACGGGAATCAATAAAATCTTTGAAGGCGATTTGCACTGCCCCTACGGAGTAGAATTTTTTCCCTTGAAAGAAGTTATCCAAATTTGGAAAAAAATGGTAATCTGTTGGAGCAAGTCCGGCGAGTACGATGAATGTCTTAGACATTCCAATTGAAGCTCTTCTAATTTGGTAGCCGTCTGTTGTGCGTCTAGCGTTGCGTGCGTCTAGTGTGTGGTCTAGCGTTGTCGTGAAGTAGCAGTGGCGTAGAGCGATTGACCAGCCTCGGTTGTTTAACAACTAGTACCTATTTCTAACATGGCTTGCGATTGCTGACAATAGGCGTCTGCCGTAATCGTCTGGCCAGATTTGAGAAAACTGTAATGAACGACACCGTCACTAGTCCACCAAACGCTTACAAGTAACTTTTTTGAGGTGAATTTTCGCTTGGGGCAGGATTTGGATGGCATGCCAGGGTCCAGCCATCGCGATGAGCGCTTCCGATTATCGTAAAGAATCAACTTTTCATCACAGGTAATGATTCAATTTAAAAACCCTTCATTATTGTGCCGGTTAAGTAATGTAACGCAGCAGTCGAAGCGCGTTTGCCGGTTTGCTTCACTCAATTCGTGAGGTACCCACCTTTCAAGCTTTTTAATCTTTCCAATTTGCTTTAAGTGGATTAAAACAGTTTTATCACTAACACCGCCAACCAATCCGCAATTACCCTCCAATCCGCATTGGGCCAGCGTGGAGGGTCATGGCCCATCCTCCTTAACCATCCATAAGGAAGGCCTGAGCCCCTGCAGTGGGGACGTAAAAGGGCTGGTGTGATGACTAACACCGCAGCCTGCAGCTAAATCGGACGTGGTTTGCGATGGATCCGCTTCCACAATAGCCTTCAATTCTTCGTTATTAACTTGGGTCTCCGGCCGTCCACGAGGCTTGTTCTGTAGGTCGAAATTTCCAGAACGAACGTTAGAACCAAAAACACACTGTGTTTTCTTTTGCGACACAACCGCCATATACATCATTAACCCTTCGAGCCGTTTCCGCAGCACTGGTACTAACGTGGAATTCGTACTCCTAAATAACACAATATCTCAAGTTTTCCATTTTTTATACTGGGTGACGTAAATAGGACAAACAGGAGAAAAAATAACAAATGGATGCCGCCTAACGAAACTCAAATACATGTGTAATAAACACATTACCCTCCTTTACGTCGCGCAATCGGGTAAATAGTAAATGGCTGTTTGAATTTGGAATTCCCAATCAAGGAGGAGAAATTTGTGATTAAAGTGGCCAGTACGACAAAACGCCAATTTCATATGTAAGGACCTAATATAACAAAAAAATTGGAAGAGTTGTAATTGTCATAATATGTATGTTGTGGGCTAGTCGTTGAATTGGTCTGATCGAGATCTGCCCGGGCCATCCGCCATATCGTTCAACGCCTAACGTTTGACGGTTTGCCGACTATACTCAGACGATCGATTTTGTAGAGTGATCAAAGTACTATGTAAGTAGAGATGGGCAACAACCCGGGGTTTCTCTTACCACTCATCTATTTATATAAGCAAATAAAATGAAGTTTAAATAATAATTAATTGCCTGATAAATAAAAAGCCTGTTGTTTTACTATGTTTGCTAAAAGTGATCAGCGTTTCAAATCATCTTAAATTTAAATACAAGCAAAGTACAATCTGAAGTACATAGAATCGCATATTTCTTAATTATAATATTTTCACAGCTCAGTCTCAGTTACTCTTATGTACTATTCTTGTGTTATTTGATGGAAAAAAATAATTGGATATTTTATATAAAAAAAAAACCTTTAAAAATACCATATCTATTACCAAGTATAAGTGTGATTCGGTTAGGGGAGACTGGGAGACTTGATCCCCCCTTTTGTTTTTTGGCCCTTATTTTGTAAATATAGATCCGATTTTAATTATTTTTGTACTGAAATACGTGAAGTTTTATTAGCTATACTAAGTATAGTAGCTAATGATATCGGTATAAAAATTAGGTAACCAGCCCACGAAGACTTCGTATAGAAAATGATATCAAGTGTCCCATATATATGCCTGACTTGATCCCCACTATGTGGAACACTTGATCCTGGGAGGAACAAGTCTCCCAAATATAGATCCGATTTTAATTATTTTTGTACTGAATTACGTGAAATTTTATTAGCTATACTAAGTATAGTAGCTAATGATATCGGTATAAAAATTAGGAAACCAGTCCACGAAAACTTCGTATAGAAAATGATATCAAGTGTCCCATATATATGCCTGACTTGATCCCCACTATGTGGAACATTTGATCCTGGGAGGAACAAGTCTCCCACGTATAGGGTATTCATATGATACCAATACAGAAAAAAATGAAAAAATATGTTAAAATTTTATTATTTTTATTTAAATATCATTGATTTATTTGTTTAGTAGTAAATGGTGGAAGGTGGATACCTATAGCATTTATACAAAACTCCCCACCATACCATCACACTAGCCGGATGATGAGTGCGCGAGACATTCCGTGTAGAAGCTGGGACATCTTTTCTACTTTTAGCGTACATTTTATTGTTTTATGGGTTGGACTTTTGTTTCACAGTAATATTTTTCTCGTCTGTGAAGAGTATCATCCTGGCATCATGTCTCCTCAGCAGTAATGGACAACGTTCGCGTACGGTAACTTACGGAGACGATCGTTTAAAAAGTTAACTTTTTTACGGCTATAGGCCTCTACCTTAAGATCAAATTTCAGTATTCTGTTCACTGAAACGCGCGAAATATTAGTCTCTTGGCTTACGGGAAAACTTTTCAGCTCATTGAAAATCTGCATCGGTTTTTTCCCGCCTTAAATAGCGAAATGACAGTTACACATAATTGATTCGTACCCCCCATCAACAAACAAATAAATTTGCGATACTAATAAACTAAAAGTTAACATTCCAAATTAAAAATCGGCAAAAAAAAAATAACAGCCAGTAACATTTTGTTTTATTTTTTCAGTAAAAAGTTTGTCTCGAAACTTATGACCACACGAGGTGCTTCAATTTTTTTTAGCTTATGAACTATAGTTATACCAGTTTCGTCAAGTTCTGTCTCTTCAGTTGACGAAAAAATTTGTGACTGGCTATAGTTTGGAGTGTAGTCAATATTTTCAGTCGTAGCATTTTTCTTCTTTCTAACATATCTTTAGAGTGTACCACGAATACTCTTACCCCTATAACATTTTAGGAACCCAAAGGTTGGAGGTTGGAGTCCCTACTGTGGTGACGGAGACAACTGGCCAGGGAGACTAAAGGATAATTGTCTCCCTCCGAGCTAGGTGTTATTAGCCCAGGGACCGCGGTCCTACCGATGTAGGTTGGACGTTCTATTTATGTTAATTGGTAATGAAACTTATTCTATATGTAGGTTTCTTTGTTCTAAATGTCTTGTAGTATTAATTTATGATGTTCGTTTTTGGTACAGCGCCATCTCGTTACTTGCTGTTGAAACTTCTTGCAGTTCGTTTTGCTATCGATGGCTGTGACGATGCTAGTCTTCTCGCTATCGATTGTTGTGGCGATGTTACTGCGATTAATTAGATGTCGCTATGTATCAGTCGCCACAACATCATTAACAGTGAACTCCAAGATTTTCTTATAGATTGGTATTCTTTTTCTTGCACCTTCTCTTTTTTTATATACCCTAGGCATATTTAATCCTAAATTTTTTTTTTTAAAGTTAGTAGACATTGATCCGGTGGGATCATATCTCCCATAAGAAAGTGTACCATGTGTACCCTGGGTATGTTGAGGTTCTAAAAAAAGATTGTACTAAAATGTACCAATATTAACACTTTTCTATAAAACAGATGTATAAACACATAGATAACGACTAGTTAAAAAGTGATACATATCCTAAATTAGTTTACTAACCAATTATTTAATCAAAGTAAAAACATATAAAAAATATTTTTCTGCAACACTAAACACATAAACATCCGCCATTTGCACAACTGTCAAATTTTACAGGAATGCTAACTTTAGAAATGGAAAACGACCTATAGACTACAAATTTTGCCAGTTTAAAATTATATAGTGTTTACAGAAGCTCTGTAAATCCATTGTATCTAGTCTCCCGTAAGGATCAAGTGTCCTCAGTCTCCCCTATCAGCTAAACCCAAAATATTGGGGTTGGAAGTTGATTGATAATTCGTTAGAACCATTTCAAACTTTACTCTCACCTGCGCCTGCGGATGTAGATGTAGAAGGATTAAAACCATGAAGATAAGCTTCATGATTAAAACTGTCAACGGAAGGGATGTAGTGCTAAATGTGGTTGCAAAAAAGTTGAACTGTTTTGTTAAGTCGCATTATACATACTAATGTTAACACCAGTAGTGTGTTTGTTGAATCACCGACAATTTAGGATTGATCTGATTCTAACAAAGAGACATGCGATGTATCATTATTGTGGCAATTTACTTGCACCCAAGATGAAGGAGAAGTAAAAGCACAAGAACAAGGAGAAGAGGCAGCAGAAACATTGAAAAAAATATTAACCAGACGGATAAATTTCCCTGTGTTCTTTTTAATTTACACCGCTTTTCTTTCACTTTTATTCATAGACTTTTTTTGAAAAAAACCTTGAAAAATTGCCAATACGAAAATGAACTTTAATACTATCAGTTAAAGTGAACTTTTCGTTATTCCTTCTACAGAAGCTAATTCGATCCGAGAGATATAGTCACAACGGAGACCGTGCGTCTTATTATTTCATCTAGCCATTCTAAATAAATATAGTTGATTAAAAATTTTAACTAAAATATCCTTAGAGGAAACACTTTTATTTTAATGGTAAGTATTTTAAAAATTTAAACATTATATAATCAAATTAATTTCGTATGTATTATATGCATACAAAAAGATAGTATTAATTATTATCAAGGCTATTTGTTTACTTATTTTGTACTGGTATCCCTTTTAAGTGACATGGCGGTGTTATATTAAACATATGAAATTGGCGTTTTGTCGTACCTGGCCACTTAAATCACAAATTTATTCTCCTTGGTTGCATTCATTTGTTTTTTTTTTCTTTTGTTTGTCCCATTTACGTCACCCAGTATAAAAAGTAGAAAACTTGAAATATCTCGTTATTTGTGATTACGAGTTCCACCGTGGTACCAGTGCTGCGGAAACGGCTCGAAGGGTTAATGATGTGTATGGCTGTAGTGTCGCGAAAGAAAACACAGTGCGTTTTTGGTTCCAACGTTTTCGTTCTGGAAATTTCGACCTGTAGAACAAGCCCCGTGGATGGCCGAGACCCAAGTTAATAATGAAGAATTGAAGGCTATTGTGGAAGCGGATCCATCGCAAACCACGTCCGAGTTAGCTGCAGGCTGCGGTGTTGGTGATAAAACTGTTTTATTCTCTTCTTCTTCTCTATCGTTACGATCTTGACAGAGCGGTCGTGGCCATCATGTGGTTGTTTTATTCTACTTGAAGCAAATTAGAAAGATTAAAAAGCTTGAAAGGTACCTCACGAATTGAATGAAGCAAACCGGCAAACGCGCTTCGACTACTGCGTTACATTACTTAACCGGCACAATAATGAAGAGTTTTTAAATCGAATCATTACCTGTGATGAAAAGTGGATTCTCTACGATAACGGAAGCACTCATCGCAATGGTTGGACCCTGGCATGACAGCCAAATCCAGCCCGAAGCGAAAATTGACCCCGAAAAATTTACTTGTAAGCGTTTGGTGGACTAGTGCTGGTGTCGTTCATTACAGTTTTCTCAAATAAATGAAATGAATGAATTATAATTTTATTTGCAATGATCAGAGCACAACATGCTTAATACACATTGAAGTAATTAAAATATAAAAACAAAAAAATTAAACAATCGATTAAAACACACACAGGGCCACATGTATGCCGGGACGATGCAAAAAGGGCAAAAGCTGGGCAATATGTTTGCTTGAAAAGCAAACTGCCGATCTTCAGCTTTGACCTAAGTTTAGTTTACATCATTAAAGTCATATTGAATAAAGAAAATTAAGAAAAGCGTATAAAATAAGTTAGTAAATATAAATTAAAATACATTTAAAAATTATATTGTATTATAAATGTCTGAAATTCGAACGCAAATATTTGACATCACCATCAAACAAAGAGGACAACAAATTTCAAGACACTAGTCAACAACTCCACAAGTATCCGCTACCTAGGCGACATCAGTCAATACCTTTTTGTTGATATTCCAATAAGACTTTTTTTAAATGTGTTTTAATGGTTGTTTTAGTTGAGAGAAGTCTTATTGGCGGAGGTATGTTGTTCCAACATTTAGTCGTTAGGTAACGGAAGGATCCAGTAAATGCAACTGTCCTAAGGGAATAAAACGTTAAAGGAGGCCTAGCTAATCTTGGTACGCCGGATCCGTATCTATTGTGGAACCTTGAAAAGCGTAATTTGTTATTCCATGTATTCGGGAATTTCATATTTAATGGTACCAAACATGAGGACAGCAAGGTGTAGCCTTCTTCGAGACTCCATATAAGACATTAGTGCGCTGTTTTCAATAAGGTGAAATATGGGATCGAGGAGGTGTGTTGAAACAGAACCGACAAAATGCATTCTCTATACGCTGGATCAATTTCTTAGTTCTATAAAATAATTACGTACTTTGTGCAAGATTTTTAAGCGATAGTAGCAGTTGCGGACCAAATTCAAGACGTAAGTCTCATAGCATAACCGGCTTTCCATAACAACGCCTGAATTTCTGTGTGCCTCACTGACATACTCTATGTTATCTCCTGAGAGGTTTACAATTAAACCTCTACTTAAGATACCAGCAATCTGCCTGTCTGTTCTGAACAGTATTAACTTTGATTTGGCCGCATTAAATACAAGGGTATAGTGGACGGGGTACTAGTGGACCATGCAGACACGGAGTTCAGATCCTCATGCAGTAGCTGCAGAGCCTGAGATGTACTAGAAGAATTCGTAGATATATACAATTTTACATCATCGGCATAAAAATGATATTTACAATGCTTTATCACATAGGGCAGGTCAGCACTGTAAACATAAAAAGTAGGGGTCCAAGTATGGACCCCTGTGGCACCCCACTATTAACTGGTGCAGGATCTGAAACCAAATGTAAACCATTCTGCGTTCTAATTTTAAATAATTGATAACGGCCACTAAGATAGCTGTTAAACCACTTAATTACAGAATGGTCGAAACCATAGTATGCCAACTTAGAAAGAAGCAATGATATACTAATATGATCAAACGCGCACCAAATCTAGTAAGGCCATTAGAGTATACTGCCCTTAATCTTGAGCCGATAGGATATCATCCGTGACATCTAATAGTGTCGTAACAGTACTACGTTCCTTACGAAATCCTGATTGTTGAGATGGCAAAATATTATTATCTTCTACATACTTAATTAACTAGCAATGGATAACTTTTTCAAGGATTTTTGACAAAAATGGCAACACACTGATAGGTCGCAAATCCCTACGAATAACTACTGGCTCAACTTTAGGTACTGGCGTCACAAAAGCGTATTATTAACGATATCTATAGCGACTTATTAACGATATCTGTAATAACTGATAAGGTTCGTGGCAGAGTCCGCAACATTTGACTTTATAGATTTAATGTGATCTAGGACATCTTTATCAGAGATAGACTTCAACATAAATGTCGATTTAAGAGAATGAAACCTATTATATTCAAAAAATGACATATAAGATATAGTAGCAGTGTCAGAACCAGGTACTTTTAAAAAATTGTTGTTAATCTGGTCAGGGCTACCGAGGTCATCACTGAAATCATCCCTAGTAGGTTACAACAAGATCTTTTGTGTTTTATATTTTTTCAAAAATGTTTACTACTTCCGCTATTACAATTTATATAATAATTAAAATATGCATGTTTTTCATTGTAAATACTAGTTTTAAGAGTTTTTTTTTAGGTCATTATAGTATTTTCGGTGTACCTCAGGTTTTGACTTCCTAAATCTAGCAAATGCTTTATTCCTTAGCTGAATCATCATCCTAATTGTGTCAGTTATTCAAGGTAATGATTTGTTTTGTTTCGATTTTAACGATATCAGTGGATTATTATCAAAAAGAGAAATAAAAGCTTATTAAACTCATCTACCATGGACTAAACAGAGGGCATCCCAGAAACCGCCTTCCAATCAATAGAGTTAAGATCAGCATTGAAATTCTCCAATTTGATTTTCGTCAACGGTCTGTATATCGAATGCTTAGGCGGGATCTTCGGTTTTTTTTATCACTAAACTAAAGTTAACCATTGCATCATCAAATCTGGCCAGACGATTACGGCAGACGTCTATTGTCAGCAATTACAAACCATGTTCAACTCCGATGGCGCAGTGCAAATCGCCTTCAAAGATTTTATTGATTCCCGTCCGAATGGTTTTTTTAGTAAGGGGATCAATGAACAACCTATGTGATGGCAAAAGTACATAGATTACAATGGTTTATACTTTGATTAAACAAATATATTATAATAAAAAATATTCGACATTTTGTTCCTCCCATACCAAATACCAATTTCATATGTACGCATTTTTTTTGTATTTTTAATTCAGTAGTTAGTTTCTTAGATATTTTAACAGTTAAAATGGTGAAAAGTATTGCGTTTATGTTTGTCCAAGTGAATCTTGTAGTCGTTGCGTTGGGGGGCAGATAAGTGAAGCAGAAATACTCGTATTACAAATACTTCCTCATCAAAACTAGTTAGTGTGGCGCTTATTATACTACCCTAGAAATCGGATCCTAACTGAATTGGTACCATATATTATCATCATAATTGTTACCAGAGTTTTCTTTAAGTTTTGTAATATATGCATCTGTTGATATTATAATAGGTTGCGGTAGTTATAATGCAAATACATCAAAAATTACTCCAATTGCCGCATTCTCTTTTAAATTAACGAGCTATCTAATATATCATCTTATATATTTACTCAATCTGTTTAAATACTCGTATAATCGTAATATTTAATGTGCTATATATAAATCCTAGTGAACATAAAAGTCAAATTCACCGCAACGAATGAGCATACTTAAAAAAAATACTACGCATTAAGCTCCCTTAGTCCCTAACAGCTATTACATTACCCAATCGCTAGGGCGTAAAGGAGGAAATGACACCGGTTCGCGCCGACCATTCTAGATAAGGGGTCCCTAGAAATTGGGTAGCGTAATAAGCATTATACTTACTTTAAAAGCCAATAATAGTTCGTGTTTTAAA